AAAGAAAGAAAGAAAGGGAAGGGAGGGAGGGAGAGAGAGAAAGAAAGAGGCAAAGGTTAAAGACAGGAGGAGAGATTTACTTTTTATTTAATTTATTTCTGTGCTATTTAAATCAACAAAGGGCACTTGTTACTGAATAATGAAAAATATCAGCTATGCAAATAAGAAATGAACATAAGCCTTCCAGTGAATATTTAAAATATCTTACATAATTCAACAGGGAATAATAATAAGGTGCAATGGCTAAAACAATTACAGTATTGTCTTCTATATATAGACTTTGCTTTCCCTTTTAAATGAACAAGTACTATGAAATTATAAACCAGTTATATTATAGATGTAAAATTAATCTGTTCAAAAATCTCATTTATCCCCATTCTTCCTTCTGAAAATAGTACAGATGTTATTGCATATGGTACATATTCCTGGTCTGCATTTTGCTGATTGGTGCTGATGTTTTCTTAATATTTTTTCATAAAAATACAAATAATCATAGATTCTCAAAATGAAAGTAGAGAGAACAGATAATTCCATTCAGTAGAATAGCTAAAATTAGGAGTGAGAACTTCATACATCTCTGTTTTCAAAGTATGATTGGATAATTTTTTTCGTCCTGTGGAACAAAGCAGAATGAAAATATTGTATGGATGTTTACTATGATGGTAGGAAAGGCAGCTATGCCTGTAAAATAACTTAATGTTTAAATATCAGTGTTCACAACCAAGTTAAAAGAAAATTAGAGTTATTATGAACTTAATGTCTACTTATTATAATATTTAAGTCATATGAGCAATAAATTCTTATACTACAGTGCTGATGTCATAACATGTTTAAAGTGAAAGAAACATAAAATTAAGTGCTTAAAAGTTAGGACCATCAATTATGAATTCAATGTACCTGTATATATTTATTTTTCCCTTGATCAGGGGCTTAAATCTCAGTTGCAAATGAATTTCAGTTTTCCATATCCTCACTTACCCAGGCTGATTTTTTATAAAACTGGGTTTGCACCTGTCTTGGAACCACCCTGTTCCCTCTCACTTTTAAAGGGTACATTTTGGCAAAATCTTTTGTCCATTACATTCGTCTAAAGTAGCACACACTCTGTGAGCTGGTAACATTTCACTGGGCAGAGATGGTATTTTTATGCCTACCAAGCTAAATATAACAAGAAATAATGAACTCAGGCATTGGTGTGAGGTTGACAGAGATTTCCATTTTTAGTCACATCATCTAAAGGCTTTTAAAATTACCGACTTATATACCTCTATCTGGGTTCTAGTAGACGTCACCAGCTGACATCCTGGCAGGTAAGATGAAACACAAGTATGGAAAATTAGACAATGAGAGTTGGAAAAGTCTTATGAGAAATAAATCATGTTATTCACAACTGTATTTTTCTGCTCTCCTTACAACCTCCATGCATCTACTGTCCAGGCCCACTAGACTTTAATTTTATACCAACAGAAGCTTCTTCTGGAAGACAAGTCTGGTTTTTGTTTGGTTTGGTTTGGTTTTGTGATAATATGAAGATTTGTTGAAACCATGGAAAATAAGTAAAGGATAAATATTGTAATAAAATACCCAGAATGACTTTCAATAGTAGATTAAGAGAACAGAGGAAGTAAAGCTGTGTCATAACCTAAGGAAAAGCAAAATTAAGAACATATTATATTTGCAATATTCAGAAGTTATTCTGACTTCTAGTAAACAAACAACTAGTTAAAAGGAAAAATATTTTCTAACAAATTCTTAGTGCTTGGATAAAAATTCTGAAAAAGAACAAAGAGTTAAAAATAACAATTATTAGCTACAATAATTGAGAAAAATTCAAATACATACTTTGTTGATTTTTGAAATAAATATTTCCGTCATTATTGAATTCTTTTAAATCATCTTTTGTTTTAAAACTTCTGGCAAATACAGGCTAGTGTCCTGTAGATTTCTAACGAAATACCCGTAGCAGATACATTTAAATGGGAAACTCAGTAAAGTCAATGTTCAATGTGCTGTTTTTCCTCCTAAAATGTGACTGTAAGTTATGATCATAGTGTAATGATTTAATTATTAGTTGACATACCAAAGCTTGCCAGCTTGTCTGTTCTAAATTATTCATTGCCTGACTTGCTTTCCCCTGAGTCACAGGTCTGGACCCCTTAGATACACATTTTCTAGGCAGACTTCCTGGAAGAGAAATCAGATTTAGATTCAGTCAGTGAGAAGAATGAAAGCTACTTCCTCACTTTCTGCCTGCAGTCCTTGCAGAATTTCTGTTGGTAGAAATTCTTATGGTATTCAGCACACCTGGGCTATGTAGTAGCCTCTGTTCTCCTAGAAATCATCTACCCGCTGACTTGCTTCAGACAGGTATGGGGAACAGGAGCTGTTACTTCTAGAGACAGACTAGGACAGCAACATCACCTTCCTGATTACCTGAAGCTGAGCAAACCTGAGAGCTGCTTGTTGTGTTCATATACATTTGATTCTCTAGCCCTTCCATCAACTTTAGAAGTACCTAACTCTCTGTATTAATTAATTACCTGTATTAAACGTCTTCCTTCTTGAAAGTGTTTTCTGCTAATCTAACCAAGCTTTGAGTAATAATAGTTACATGCAAATGCACACTCATCTTGAGAGATTTCTGCCCTTATTCTAATAAGGTGGCATTGCTCAAAATAATTTTTAGAATGACAATCTAAACAAGTACCTCAATCTTTGAGTAACCTTGATTGGAGTGTCAAAATTCCATCATTTGAGGATGGATTTGATGTTTGGAAACAGCTAGAAGCTGCCTGAATTTAAGTATTAAGTAAGGTAAGTCATTTTTATAGACTGAATTATGCCCCCCCTCCCCAAATTCATATGTTAAAGTCCTAGCCCCTGGTATCTTGAAATATAATTGGATTTAGAGATAAGGTCTTTAAAGAGGTAATTAAAAATGAGATTGTTTGGGTGGATCCAATCCAATATGACTGGTGTCCTTGTATGAAGAGATTTGGACTCACACATACAGACAGAAGACCACTTTAAGGGAGGAGACTGCCATCTATAACTCAAAAGAGAGAGACCTCAGAACATCACCCTGATCTCAGGGTTGTAGCCTCCAGAGCTGTGAGAAAATGAATTTCTGTTGTTACATTCCCCAATGTGTGGTAGTTTGTTATGGAAGCTCTAGCAAACTTATCCAATCTTATACTATTTTGGATGTGAAATACATGTGACTATAAGATGTTAAATCCATACTTAAAATGTACTCATAAGATGTCTCTAAGGATAATTCTAAGAGAAGACTATAGGTATGTATTCAGGAAAGACCATAATATATATGTAAATGTCACAAGGTGGATTCTTTTGGCAGGAATAACATTCATTAATATTCCATCACACAAAATTTATTTTTAAAGTCTTATTTATAACACTATAGGTTTAAGTGAAAAACTATGTATGTAACTAAGATTTATATACACATCTAAGATAGATAGATAGATAGATAGATAGATAGATAGATAGATAGATAGATAGAATATAAATTATCATATCACCATTCATGGAATACAGGGATAAGGATTAAACAAGATGTTTAAATTATCTAATCACATTAGGGAACTGGGGAAAAGATAAAAGAATCTTGAGAGCTACTCTTTTTTTTTTTAAATGTTTTATTTCTGAGAGAGAACAGCATGAGCAAGGGAGGGTCAGGAGAGGGAGACACAGAATCTGAAGCAGGCTCCAGGCTCTGAGCTGTCAGCACAGAGCCTGATGGGGGGTTTAAACCCAGGAACTGTGAGATCGAAACCTGAGCCGGATACTCAACCAACTGAGCCACCAGGCTCCCCTCCTGAGAGCTACTCTGTGATGCAAAAACTTAATTTGAAGAGTCAGAGCTATCTTTGTTTTTCAACTGATGATGCAAAAAATGTGGCTCCAGTAAATCATTTTATACTACATTAAAGACAGACTATTGAAAACTACAGTGCTCTGATCATGTATGTTCTTATAAAGAAAAACCAGAGAACTTGATCTTTGTTAGGATTTGGTCAGCACTATAATTCGTGAGATATGAGTATACTTTGAAGACAAGGTAGATAATCCATCAAATCCATTGATATGGAAAGGTGACAAATAACTAATACTTTGTCACAACTCAAAAATCAATCTAATCATGGTTGTTAGATTTCTTATAAATAAATTATAGTTTGTCTTTCCTCTGTGGCTGCAATTTAAATACTATTTTTGGAGTAAGTACCATATTTGCATGATTTAAAAAGAAAGTATCAAAAGGTATGCAGAGCTTCTCTGCTCACACTGTGCCATCATCACTCTTGTCCCTGCCTTGGGAAGTCGTTCTCCTGAGTTTCTAATTCTCCTTTCATAATTTCTCTGTACATACAGATATACATGTGGAGTTTTTAATATACATAAAGAAACATGTTATAAAGTATAAACATTGCTTCTCAGTACATAATAATCTCCCCCTTTACAGACACATTTTATTATATAACAAAACATATTTAATCAATGTACTGTTGGCTGGAAATTTGTATTTTATCTAGTAAATTTCAATCAATAAAGCTTCAGTGAATACCCTTTTATCATTGTCATTTTTAGAGTGGGTAAGAATATCTGAAGGTTAAATTTGAAAAAAATAAAGTTGCTTAAAATATGCCTATGTGGGTGTATGCATGTATATGTAGATTCTTTGTTTTTAAATATAGTAAACTCCTATAACAACATATTAGGGTCCAAAAATTCAATTGTATAAAATATAGTGTTGTGCTTTGCAAGTTTATGAAAGCCAGTATTTTTCATTCAGTCTTTCAGTTAGCATAAAAACAAAAACAAAAATAAATGTGTTTCTGTGTAATTGTTTTGTATACGTAGAAAACAGAACAATTACCACAGAAAGCATGCAGTTATACAGTAGTCCTCTTATCCATAGTTTTAGTTACCCATGGTCATCTGTGGTCCAGAAGCAGATTATCCTCTTTCTGACACACTGTCAGAAGGTCCATAGTAGCCCAGTGCTACATCACAATGACTAAGCATTTATCCCACTTCATCTAGTCATGTAGGTATTTTATCATCTCACATTATCACAACAAGAAGAAAGGTTAGTAATACAATAAGAATTTGGGGGAGTGGGGAGAGAGAGAAGGACCACATTGACATAACTCTTATTACATTATAGTGTTATAACTGTTCTATTTTATTATTAGTTATTGCTATTAATCTCTTACTATGTCTAATTTATAAATCAAACTTTATCATAGGTATATATGTATTAGAAAAAACATAATATTTATAGGGTTTGGTATTATCTGCAGTTTGAGGCATCCACTGGGGGTCTTGAAACATATCCTCCCATAGATGTGAAGGGGCTACTGAACTTCCTTGTGACAGTCCCAAGTGACTAGACTTTTCATTCCTAATCTCACTCTATTCCTGACGTAGAAGATAAGATTATTCAGTCCACTCCCACCTGAACACAGAGCCAATGGTCAATAGAATAATGTTTCATTCGGCATAACATCCCAGATATTACAGAGGGAGGTTGCTTCATTGTCAAATTGTCATCTGTTGGGCTATACAACTTGATTCTTCAATCATCCGGGAAAGTTCCTATTTCCTCAGTTTTGCCAACTGAGTCGCAACTGCATTTTGATGCACTCAGTACTGTACCAAAGAGAAGAATAGAGAATTTGATGAATTTATCTGTACCGAAGTTTTAATGCAGTAGGTCTTTCTAGTTGTATATAACGATTAGCCTTTATTTTAGATCATTGTTGGCCTACATTGCAACTCTCCTCCTTCCCTTTGTAAAGTACTACTTGATGAGGTAACTATGTGACCTTATACCTCACCAGACATGAGAATTTCCAATGAAGATAGCTATGTCTCTGCTCCAAGGTAGTTAATCTAAAAGTCCCACAAGTCTTAGGTGTTTGTGATGGCAAAACCCCATATTAGGTCATCCAGACCATCCCTTGGCAGGACTCATTTCAGCAGTATTTGATGTTTGCTTTTCTACTTGGTCCAGTCCTACTGACTTCAACATTTTAAAATTTAAAAGGCACACTGGGGAATCTCAAGATTTTCTTCTCAAAGCAAATCAGCAGATTATAAAACTTTGAAAAATGTAAGAACCTTATGTTTCTAAATCTCAAGAGACAAAAATTTTCTGATTAAAGGTAAGTAGATGTTTATATTTCTCCTAGAGATTTCAATCTGATATGCTTAATTGCTGAATATTTTGGGTACTAATTATAATATCCATTACATGTTATATGTATTAATTGACATCAATATTCTGGGAATTGTTATGTTGACAAACCTATCTGAAATGGCCCTCTTGGCATCACATGGAGAAAACAGTCAGCACAACTAGAATGCAACAATGAGCCCAAGCTCTTGGATTTAAGGCAAAGCCCTGAATTGCTGGAATAGCCAGCCTGCAATAACAGTCACTCCCAGAGATCACAGACCCACCATTGCGTGGATGCTGTAAAACAATCAGACTGGATAGAAGTTGACTTGGAATCCCTGAGAAAGCTGAAAATCCTGACCACCCAGTTTTTATTAGTGCTGATATTATACAAAAGGCACATGTAAATTAAGTCAGAATTCAGAAACTCTGCATTTATATCTGAAGACTTACAGCAGTGAAAGCTGCTTTATTTCTGACTCCAACTTAATGATCCCAACTTGATGATTTAGGACTAGATATGTGAAACAACATACATAATATTACTTTAAGATTTCTGCTTCTGATAATGGCCGTGTGTTGCAGACTAATCCTCTGCCAAGAGTAACTAGAAAAACTGGAAAGTATTTAAATCTGTTTGGAAATATTGGACCACTACTAATGCAGTAGCAATTTGAGGGGCCATGATTATAGGGGGAAAAAAGCAAAACTTAGAGAAGTGAGGCTGACATTTTGGTCCATCCTAAACAGTTTTCATATGTCCTTTGTTAAAAATATATGTGCATTTCTCTCAAGTTTATACCTAGGATTAGAATGATGTGTCACAGAGTATTTATATCTTTATTTTGGTAAAGTGTGCCAAAGTTTCCAAAAATGGTTGTATAAGTTTATACTCTCACAAGCAATGTGAGAGAGTTCTGTTTGCTCTATATTCAGCTAACCTTGGCATTTAGAAACTTGTATTTATCAAAAGAAACCGTTAAGAAAGTAAAAACAAACAAAAGAACAGAGAAGATAGTTGCAATGCATATATCTAATGAATACCTTGCACACAGAATATACAAGGAATTCTCTCAAATCAATAAGGAAAAGTCAGACAACAATTTAAAAAGTACAAAACACTTGAACAGGCACTTTGCAAAATAGAATATCTAAATTGGCATTTTCATACTAAAAAGTGCTCAATTTCATTACCCATCAGAAAAATGTAAATTAAATCCAAAGTAAGAGATCTCCACACATGTATCAGAATCCTTAATATCACATAAATGCAAAATATACCAAGTTTTTATCAAAACAGCATGTATATCTTCAAAATGGGGATGAATAAACTCTAATCCATTATTTCACTAGTGAAATATGGGCCATTTTCCAGCATTAGAAAAGAATACTGACTAAGTACATCTCAACAATTTTTTAAATTAAATGACAGAGAAATTATAGGAAATGAATTTTATAAAGGATCATCAAAGCATGTTAATGCCATTTGACGAAGGTGTGTTGGGGAACAGAACACAATTTCAATCTATCTTCTTATAGATCACTTAATGAATTCCTTTTACAATTAAAAGAGCTGGCAAGCAATATTTTAACCAAGTAATCAAACCCAGCAACACCAAAAAATGGAATAAAGGAATGTTCATGTTATAGAAGTACATGAACGTATGCAAAACGTATAGAAGTATTACGTATGCAAAATTCTTCACAAAACCCTTTGATCTAAATGTAATCATTAGGATGCAATTCATCAAGTCCAAAATATAAGACTTTTTATATAACGCCTAACTTTTTTAAATGACAAAGTCATGAAAGGCATACAAAGGTAGATCACTGTTCCAAACGAAAGTAGGGACATGAAAAATGCAATGTATCAACATTGATTCTATTCTAAAATGGAACATTTTTGGAAATACCACAGATATTGTAGAATAGACCATATTTTAAACTATATTACTGAATCAATGTTAAAAATAATTAATATTTTTGGTTATATCAATGTTATAGTTACAAAGGAGAATGTTTTTGTTGTTAGGATATGCAAGATGAAATATTGAGACTGAAATGCCATGTATGATATTTGTAAATTACTTTCAAATGGTTCAGCAAGAAATGAAAAAACGTAGGTGGGTAGATAAACAAGCAGACAGACAGGCAAACATCAGTACAGAAAGAAAATAAATGCAGGAAATAGGTCAACCTAGGTGAAAGATATATTTTGTTGTACTATTCTTTTGAATTTTCTCTAGTTTTGAATATTTTCAAAATAAAGTTGGAGAAGAAATAAAGAGGGAAACTACATTTTATTTTACATAACAGCAACAGAATCTTTTGAGAGGATTCAGTACCTTAAGATAAGCATTAAAGCAAATACTAAAAGTAATTCTTCAATTAGAAGGAAAATGAATCACAGAAGCACAGAGATAAAGAAAGATACAAAGCAAAAAAAAGGGTAAATATTTGGTAATTACAAATGAATACCGATAGTGTAAAACTATGACAGCAATAAGTTGTAGAATTCAAATTATTAGAGAGAGTTAAAATACAAGAAAAAAATAACACAAAAGGCAGGAGGTGAAAATCGACTTCAAGTGTTCTGCAGGCCTCACATTGTCCAAAAAATTTATATAAGTTGTGATGTTTCTTGTGCACCAACTGGTAGCCACAATAAGAATACCTAGAGAATGTAAAATGTTTAGCCAAATAAAGAGGAAAGAATGGAATAATAACAACAACAACAATAATAAATTACCCAAAAACAGAGGGAAAAAAAGAAAAAAAGAAATAGATCAGATGGGGCAAATAGAAAACAAGTAATTATATGGTAATTTTAAACCCAAATCTTTTCTTTTCTTCACTTTTCTGTTCTTTCTTTCTTTTCAAGAGAACACGTGTAAGCAGGGGAGGGGCAGTGGGAGAGTGAGAGAGACACTCTTAAGTAGGCTCCACATCCAGCATGGAGCCCAACACTGAGCTCTTGATTTCACAAGGCTGAGATGGTGACCTGAGCCAAAATCAAGAGTCAGATGCTTAACCAACTGAGCCATCCAGGTGCCCTCAAACCCAAATATTTAACATTTTAATAAATTTTATTTATTTTTGAGAGAGGGACAGAGAGAGACAGAACAGAGAGACAGGGTGGTAGCAGGGGAGGGGCAGAGAGAGGGAAAGACAGAATCTGAAGCAGGCTCCAAGCTCTGAGCTGTCAGCTACAGAGTGGGATATGGGGTTCCAACCCACAAACTGAGAGATCATGACTTGAGCTGGCCTGATGTTTAACTGACTGAGCCACCCAGGTGTCCCATAAACGCAAATATTTTCAATGTAGACAGTCTAAAGACTCCAAATAAAAAGGCACAATTTTCAGTCTGGATAACATTAGTTTTAGGAAGTCTTATATAGAAAATCAAAGTCTAACATACAGACCTTTTCTATAGTACCCCAAACAATGAGAGAAAAGAGATAGGATGGTCAGAAGAAAAAGAGATCACATGTTTTTTTATATTTCTTATAATAGATTTTCCAATGACATTTATACAGTTTTATACCTTTCTAGAATAATGAGCATGTCTGTTTACATGTCAGCAGTTATAATAAAAAACAGAAATACAATTTATTTTAATCTCTTTTTTTGAATTTGGAAATGGCACATATTTCTCTGTAGGAAGTCTGAGGCCTTCAGATAGAAATCTAGGGAGACATTTAAAAAATATGAAATAAACAACAGGTTACATATGAAATGCTCAACAGTTTTAATGCCTTTAAACTCATAACATTCCAGTTATATTTAAATAGTACAGAGGTGCCGGGTGGCTTAGTCGGTTAAACATCCAACTTCGGCTCAGCATGATCTCACAGTTCATGGGCCCGAGCACGTTGTTGGGCTCTGTGCTGACAGCTCAGAGCCTGGAGCCTGCTTCAGACTCTGTGTCTCCCTCTCTCTCTGACCCTCCTTTGCTCATGCTGTGTTTCTCTCTCTCAGAAAGAAAAACATTAAAAATTTTTAAAAAATAGTACAAAAATGGAGACACAATAAAAATTATCCGTTAAAATGCACTTTGTTTTTTAAAATAGATATCACAGCTAATTACGAGAGTTTTATGAATTAAGTCCCAGATGATCATCCAAACTTTATCACTAGAAAAAAATCAGATACTCTTTGTAATAACAAACTTTCCTCTAGTAAAAATGTAATACCCCCAGATAAAGTGTCTAAATTCCAGTGCTACTATGTAAAGAAAATATTAATAATTTTCACTTAAATGTAGAAGCATCAAAAAATCTACTTTGTTAATCTAAGAAGATCAAACAAATTTAAAGTAATGTCTTCTTTTTAGTCAATAGTATCTTGAACCAAATTTTCCATTTTCCTCCTATGTCCCTTGATTTCCTTGTTGCAACTTAGTATGTTTGGTGAGCACCACTCATCTAGAAAATTGCTCTCAAAATAGAATGGAAAATAATATAATCCAAAATGAAATTACTATTGACCACAATTCCGCATTTTCCATTATTTACACATATATATCATATATATGTATATATACACATTATATGTATAAAGTGTAATGTATATATATACATAAAGTTTTAAAACTATTTTTAGAAATGGTGACCTTTGAGATAAATAATGAAGTATTTTATCTCAATGCTTCCAGACTTACTCTAAAATTCATGTTATAAAGTACGTCTTTTATTTCAAATCTTTTTTTATTAATTGTATTTTTAGTAAACTCCACACCCAGTGTAGGGCTTGAACTCATGACCCCTAGAACCAGCCAGATAACACCTACATTTTAAAACTTCACATTTAAGTCACTATAAATTAAGATGCATCAAGAATTAAAGTGTAATTTTTGGTCCTGTTTTCAAATTAAGCAGACTATAACCCACTCAGTTACATACAGACCTACAATAAGTAGAACTAAATTTCCTTCTTATAATTATGATAATGATAATAATTAGTTTTATGTAATGCTGGACGATTTTCAAAAGAGTTCTCACTATTTTATTTAGTACTCACAACAACCTTGTGAGTAGGGAGTAACAAAGGACAATTCCCATCGTTTTATAGATTAAGAAACAAAGCTCTAAGAAATTTAAGTAAGCCCGAGTTGGATGGTAATTGATGGATTAACTTGAAGTAAGACAAATTATCCAACATATATTAAGTATTTCCAATGTGCAAGCTCTATTTATACATTGTTTGGAATATTACTTATACCCTCATGTTTTGTTGTTGCTATTATTGGCAGTGATGCAGATGGTAGGGTACAGTATGTGCGTGCACACATGCCCACATAGGAAGAGAAAGGAAGGAAACAGGCATCAGAGAAAGATGATAAAACTGAAGAAGACATAAAGAATTTCATAAGAAATCCAATTACCATAGTCAAGAATAGACAGGTCTTCTTGAAGAAATAAAAGTTGTTAAGTGAAAATTCAAGAAACTAGAAAATTTATGTTTTTGCTAAAATAGTCCACTTTGCTAAACTATGAAAAAAACAGTATTTGTAAAAACTGAGACAATTTTGCTACCAATAAAAATATTTTGTAGAAAATCAATTAGTATTAACAGGAAATGCATTAACACAGTAAATGGAATATTAGATGGGATTTTTGAAGCAGATATGAGCATATGAAAAGTGGTTATTAAAAAAAACACACACATGCTAAAACCAAGTTTGGAATACATTTCTACATTAAAATGCCATTTTTCATACAACCTATTTATTCTCTTATGTAATGATAGCAAGGAGAAAATTAAATAGTTTTGTGTAGATAGATCTTAGTTATATAGACAATTTTTTCAATCCTAATTCACTTAGTCTTCCAGTCTCCTTAATATAATGTTTCAATTCCATGATAATCTCAAAAACAATTCAGGAAATTTTGACTAAAATTTCTCAGTGAAATTATCCCTCAATTACCTTGCACATGGGTCAATGACGTGAGGCCAAGAAAATATTACTGAGGCCACTGATGCTAATGCGTTTGATCTCTGTTGCATAGACTGTGACTGTTGAAGTGGATTGTCACCAGGAACTGAGTTCAATTGTGGAAGACTCTGTTAATGAATTATATCACATAATAGAGGTTCAGAGAAATCATTTTGCAGCAGTGATAACATATAAAAGGACATGCTTTATTTGCATAAAAATGCAAATGTATGGATAAAAATAATGATGAACATCATGCTAAAAATAGCACTTAATTTCTTTCATTGATTTTATTAGGCCCGTTTCAGGTCATCCTAGCTACTCTGAGAGTCTCTTAGCAAAAGGTTCAGGTAGCAAGCTACTCTGTCACATCTTAATGTTCTTTGTTTGGTTTATCCATCTCATGGCCCTAGATATAACCAAGGTTCTCATGGTGATAAATTCTTTTTCTCTTATTACTAGACTCAGATAAAGTGTATAATATTTTTCCAGACCACAAGATTATATAACTATCAATACCTTTAAGCTAAAATGTGTCTAAGCATTATATCTATACCACATATCTTTCTAGATTTATATCTAAATTTAGGCTATAAGTAGATGTCAAGATAATAAATGATTTCTAATCAGGTTACGTTTTTCTTTTCTTTTCTTTTCTTTTTTTTCTGAAAAGTAAGGATGATTTTATTTTATTTTATTTTTTTTACAAATAGTTTATTGTCAAATTAGTTTCCACATAACACTCAGTGCTCATCCCCACAAGTGCCCTCCTCCATGCCCATCCCTCCTGCCCCCCACATCCATCAGTCCTCAGTTTGCACGTATAGGAGGATTAGGAGGAACTTGATGGAGGAACAAGGGGGAGAAGAAGGGGGGAAATGGTGGGGGAAAGGGAGAGAGGTTACATTTTTCTTTTAAACGTGTGGTCTTTGTCCAAAAGAAAAAGAAAGGGTGTAGACAGAGACACATATGGTAAGGAAGAGGGAAAAACATTATATAGAGATTATCCAGATGAAAGAAAATAAGAAATAATGGAAACTTGATCTATTAGAGTGCCAGATATAAGGCTTCACAATTTAATATCTTGAGCATCTGTTCTTTTTGTGTGAATATATGTTAAATGAATATCAAATGGCATGTCATATCAAGAAACAACAGTGACTATTAGTGAAAAACATATGAGAAAGGTAAAAAATATATATTTATATATTCATATTTTATATATTCACTTATTTATTTTTTAACTTTTTTTTAATGTTTATTTATTTTGAGGGAGAGAGAGACAGAGTGCGAGCAGGGAAGGGGCAAAGAGAGAGGGAGACAGAATCCAAAAAAGGCTCCAGGTTCTGAGCATCAGTACAGAGCCCAGTTTGGGACTCAAACTCACAAACTGCTAGATCATGACCTGAGCTGAAGTTGGATGCTTAACCGACTGAGCCACCTAGGCACCCTTATATTCATATTTTATACTATCATTAAGTTTATCTATGTCAATGATGAACACCTAACTTCAAAAATATCATAATTATATACCTCATGATAGATGTCAGATTAAAATACATGTATTTCATCTGACTTCCCACCAAAATGTGTCCTTTATTGATATGTATATAACATGACCTACAGTTCATAAATTTTGTTATAGTTATGAACACTGCCAATGTCCATAATTCATTTGTTGAACACTCCTGAGTTATGGCTTTCTTTTTGTTTGGTGTTTTTGAGAATTTCTTCATTATATATCAGTTTTAAGCCACTGAAATTTACATAACTGTTTTGTTTCCTTCTCAAGAATACTGTATAGGGGTGGCTGGGTGACTCAGTCGTTAAGTATCTGCCTTTAGCTCAGGTGATGATCTCATGGTTCTTGAGTTCAAGCCCCATATCAGGGTCTGCGCTGACAGCATGGAACCTGCTTTGGATCCTCTGTCTCCATCTCTCTCTGCTCCTCCCCCACTCATGCCTGTGCTCTCTCTCTTTCTCAGAAATAAACATTAAAAAATACTCTATAAGATATGAAGTATAAAAATATAACTGTTCCAGGGTGCCTGGGTGACTCAGTCAGTTAAGTATCTGACTTCGGCTCAGGGCGTGATCTCGCGGTTCGTGGGTTTGAGCCCCGCGTCGGGCTCTGTGCTGGCAGCTAGCTGATAGCCTGGAGCCTGTTTTGGATTCTGTGTCTCCCTCTCTCTCTGACCCTCCCTTGTTCATACTGTCTCTCTCTCTCTCAGAAATAAAACATTAAAAAGGTTTTAAAAATATAACTGCTCCTTTTAATCATTGATTTCAAAAAATTTGAAATCATATTTTCAAAAAAATTTGAAATCAATCCCTGCTTTACAAGGGAGAAACCTATCAATCACAGAATATAAGCAATCGTAGAATTCTAACTAATCAATGTAGAAATAATGAAAAAATAGATATTCATTATTTGTTAACCATTATAGTATTAGCTGATCAACCTAAAGGTTATCAATGGATGCTACAGCCAGTGGCTGAAACTTTAATAAGGTGCAGTTTATTAGAAAACATGGAATATCATCCCCCCAAAATATTAGTCAAATACAAATGGAAAACTATGAATTTATACTGAAGAGAAAGGATAGATTGTAACTAGTATAGTCAATAAAATTTAATATCATAGGTGGTGGGACAAGCTGATATCATGTGCCTTCAGCATCTCTGTGATATTCCTGCCAAGAATGTATGGCCTGAGGAAACATCTGGTCATGAGGAAACATCAGATAGACACAGGTTGAGGTCACCTGGTAGAATGAAATGATTGCATTCTTCAAGACTCTGAAGGATATGAGAGGCAAGGAAAGACTAAGGAGCAATTAAAAAAAAAAAAACTGATGAGACCAGACAGCTAATCACAGCATGTCTCTCCGAATAAGCTCTTGGACAAGAAAGGAAAAAGAGACAGCAACGAGACATTGGTGAACTCTGAATGACGATGTTACATCAATGCCAATTTCTTGATTGGGAGAATTGTATGATGAAAATGTAGGAACATTTTATTGGCAGCGGGGGAGGGAGGGAAGAGAGTGAGAGAGAGAACAAATGCAATACTGTGTTAATTAGAGACTCCAGAGGAATCTAGAAGCACTTTGTACTGTCTGGAAAATTGAATGTAAATCTTAAACTATTTCAAAATATAAATAAAAATAAAGAGGGAAATTAAAAATAATAAACGAAGGGTACCTGCATGATTAAGTCGGTTACACATCTGACTTTGGCTCAGCTCATGATCTCATGTTCTGTGGGTTCTGTGGGGCTCTATGCTGACAGATCCAAGCTTGGAGCCTGCTCCAGACTGTGTGTTTCCCTCTCCCTCTGCCCCTCACCCGCACATGCTCTGTCTCTCTATCTCTCTCTCTCAAAAATAAACATTAAATTTTTTAAAAAATTATAATAAATGAAAATAATGAAAAAATCAACCATATGTTTTGTCCTGTGAAACTCAGAGTATGATTACACCATTATTGATCAGGATATTTGGCAAATAGGATAATGTCTGAAATTTGTTTCATATTTTTATCTTCCCCACGCAGATGAAAAGGACATAATTTCTGCCATATATGTGATGTTTTTCAGAACTTGGCTCCAGAACACAGTGATTAGTTGGAAGGCCTGTTGGAACTTAAGGAAGAGGCAGGTCATCTCTCTCCCAAGATGGAACTCAGCAGAATGAGGCTGACTGAAGCTAGTAGCTGAGTTCATTTGTTTATCAAACATTGGCTGACTGATGGCTGACCTCTTGGAACTAGCCAAGTCCCTCTGGCTGACTGGTTGGCTGAACTCCTGGTCCCTCTTCTCTCAACCCTCCCCACCAACTCCTGTTTCTGCCTTTGCTCTTTTCACTGGTTGGCTGCCCTCCCTGAGGCTATGAGATGTTGCCAAAAGATTGAGAGTACTGGTAATGATAATAAAATTGACTCAATGCAGGCAGAGACCTCAGATAAAAACATGAAAAACTCAGAGTGAAAAAGTATTACTACACACTGAAATGTGTAGCAGTAAATCTTTTTGATTATTTGAACTAGTTGAACATATTCCACTTACTATGAAGTAGGAGAGCAGTGGCATAATTTCATGTGTAAATCTTTTTGGCCAATGGCATTATTACTTTCAATCTAGTAGTAAATTAACAAAATGGAGTAAGAGTAAAACACAGAGGTAAGAAAAGATTTAAATGTAATTAAGTAATTTCTCAGTTAAGGCACTATGCTAGGTTTTTGAAATATTCTTAGCCTTAAATCTCACTATATATATATTATATATACTTACTATATACTATATATAGTAAGGGAACAAAGGGCCAAAGGAAAGAGCCCAAATTGTGCCTGGGGCATGTCAGACTAAAAGCCTGCATCTAGCTATACAACTTGACAAACTTAACTCTCTTGAAAGAATTAATGTATGATACATTTCATCCTGGACAAAAATGTTGCTACCCACCAGTGAATCCTAGGCACCCTTACCTTCCAAGCTGAACAACCAATTAGTTATTCTTTCTACTTCATCCATTTCATGAAATTACCAATATTTTTATACAACCCATTAGTTTAATCAATGCCATATGACTACCCTTATTCATAATACATATGTATGTGTGTTTGTGATGAGGAGAGAATCAGGGTCCTCCACATAATTATTGACTTATTCTCTCCCCTCAATAGATATTTCACATTTCCTTCTCCTTAAAATCTTATGTAGTTGTTTATCTGCTGAAAGTACAAGTTGTGATAATAACTAGCAAAGTATTTGATCATCCTTTCCTAATGGCACATTTGCATTTCAATAAGTCTATTGGAAAACTCAGACTGAAATCATTTTAAGCCTTTAGGTTAAAGTGAAAAACAAAAATGTTCTTTTCAGATGGGGAGTTGCTTTTTTAAAAAGTTTATTTATTTTTAGAGAGAGAAGGAGTGCATGAGTGGATAGGGGCAGAGAGAGAGGGAGAGAGAGAGAATCCCAAGCAGGCCCTGAACTGTCAGCATGGAGCCCAACACACAGCTAAAACTCACGAACCCTGAGCTTATGTCCTGAGCCAAAATCAAAGTTGGAGACTGAACTGACTGACCCACCCAGGATCCCTGGATGGGGAATCACTTTAGATCAAAAT